GTGTACAGTACTCCTTCCGAAGACGATTTTTCTTTGACTTTTTTTGAGTACATTACACTAGCCAAAATATCTAATGTTCACATCAAATATCCAAATATGGCTTACGTTTCTAATATAGCATTTAATGTTAGAGTATTTAATATCGTTGTATTCTTCGTAAGTAAAATATACATGCTGATACTTGAACATAATAAATCCCTTACAATTATACACACATGCTTACCTTTGAAGTGTTGGTAATTAAATACATTATAACAGAAATTCTTCGGCGTATAACTTTTCGTATAGCGGGAAAACAAAAGATGTATTTTTAATCTCGATCTCGATCAGGTCATATTATTTACACACAATCAATCATTTCCATAATATTCAAGAACTTTATTTGCTGCTAATAGCCTTAAAATTTTAATAGGGAAACATTGTCATGCAAATGGTCATTTGATTTGTAAAAAAAAAAAAAAAAAAAAAACAAACAAAAAAAAAAAAAAAAAACTGTTGACCTAATTTTTACCGTCACGGTTGACGTCAAGTCAATTAGTGAGGCTACACATTGTGTCATGCAGTATTCAATAAAATATTGATCACATTCAACATTTTTCATGCGGTACGCAGTAGATACAGATACAAAATAATCAATGCCTGATTTCAGATCAAAGGTAACAAGCTCAGTGGTGATCAATATGGTTTTGGGTTGATTATGAAAAAAAAAAATGTTTTCGTAACAATGATTATAGAATACAAGATCTAAATATCAAATATCTCCCACAATTTTATAAAGAGGTAATGTGTGCATTTAATGAATGTAAACAAAATAATCAAGAAAAATTCCAGTTACAGAAAATATGGTTTAACAAAAACATAACGTATAAAGGAAAACCGCTTTTTCTTCCAAACTGAATCAAAAGTGGTTATAAATATGTGAATGATCTTTTCAATGAACTCGGATTTAAAACAATAAATGAAATTAAGAAAATTTAATATGTCCACAAAACTACTTTTGTGAGTACGTGATTGTAAAGAGTGCTCTTAAGAAAGATATTCCAAAAATAAACCTACAGAATAAAGCAAACGCAAATAATTCACAGCTCTGCTTCAACTTTCACGGATATTTTGAACAAATTGAGGGTAAAAAATCTTAAATTCTTCTACAATATCTTGTTACCCAAAACATAAAAAAAACTTTAATGGAAAGATTTTGGTCTGAGCTATTCTGTACTAACGACTTCCACTTATGGGGAAATATTTACCAGGAAAAAGTCAAAGAAATATTTGATAAGAATGTGTCAGAGTTTAACTTTAAATTGATGCATAACTTACTGACTTGTAACAAGTATGTAAGTAAATGGAAAAAAGACTTAGATAAAGACTGTTCGATTTGTAATGTAGAAGAAGACATAAAGCATCTTATTTTTGATTGCCGTGTAGTAAAACCTATTTGGAGTAAAATATCATCGCTTTTAAATATAGATGTGTCATAGAAAGTCATTGTCATTGGTTTTCCAGCATATTTTAACAAAAGTACCTTTATTTTAGACAATATATTGTCTTTCATTGCCTACAAAATATATAAATATAAAATGAAATGCAGACTTTCAAATGAGAGTGTTACTAATGAGAGTGACAGTCTAATGTGTTTCATAAAAAATGCACTTACTCAGTTTTATTTCATAACAAAATAAGCAAAAAGTATTGCATGTGATTTCAAAATCATCAAAGAGTTGTCTGAAAAATTGTGATATTATCTATTTATGCAAAGGTGGCCTGGCCTTTGGAGTATACAATCGTAAGGGGGGGGGGGGGGGGACTTTATGCGTTGTGGCTTGGTGCCCCCTACGATTTATCAAAAACTTTTGTCGTTAGGATGCCATTAATGTTTTTTTTTTCTAGTAAAAAATCCAAATATGAATCATATGAATCAGACTCTATAGTGTCTTTTATTTTGAGTTCAAAGGGATATGTCGAATCAACTTAGGAATAAAAAGGAATCAAGCGTGGTCCAGATATCTAAATGTTGAAGGCCACTGCAAGAGGTTTTTGAGTACACTCTGCTTCATATAAATAGAAAAATAAGGTCTTCTAATAGCAAGGCGCAGTTGGTAACCATGAGAATTCCGCCAGATTGTTGGAAGACTTGATCTCCAAAAACTACATATAATTAATGAGTTATTACTCTGAAGCTGATATTATTATACTTTCATGTTAAATACTAAAATCTGATTGGTTTAGACGCATTTAACAATCCGTAATATTACCCTCAGCGTTAGCAACACAGTTGGCAACGGGTAACATTACGAAAATGTCACATGCGTTCAAATCATGCGCGTACGGTTCACCGTAGAATTCTCAAAACGTCAGTTGTGCGTTTGAAAGAAGCCAAATAAACGACGTCATTAAAAGCTTGCGTCCGATGTAGCTTACTTGAAAACAACAAACGACAGACGAAACATCCTTGCGAGGACTTTTTGAGTAGCAAACAAACAATAGAGAGGTTGGTATATCTTTTCCGAAGCTTTCTTATTGAGAAAAATAGAAGCGGTGAGTTTGAAAGCTTTCTAACCGTTTGAAAGCTTTCTAAGCGTGAACTTAACGACGATCTCCGAATTTTTTTTTTTTTATGACATCCGAAATCAATAAGACATTCAGTATAATAAAATAAATAGTGCACGTTTTTTGAGGGTAACAGTTGAAATTGACACCCCTCGGAAAACCATTGTCAACCTCCGCTGACGCGTCGGTTGACAATGGTTTTCCTTGGGGTGTCAATTTTAACTGTTACCCTCAAAAACGTGCACTATTTATATATTATATGAAAAATGCTCGAGTTTCTGATTGACAATATATAATATAATAGTATAATTATGTAGTTTAGACAGCAGGTCTTCCAACAATCTGTCGGAATTTCCATGAGTACCAATAGCGCCCCATTATTGGCAGACCTATTTTTGTATTCATATGAAGTAGAATTTATTTACTTATTTTTTTAAAATATATTTTCATATATATGAGAAGAAAAACACTTGCTGTGGCCTTCAATGCGACAGTAAGGGTTTCCATCCTTAATAGGACCTAATTCTCTATCCTTAAATATCCATCACGTATATAATACTCTGATATTAATTCAAATCATTTTACAGTAGAAAAGGATTTACCAAGAGAAAGTTTCAAAAAATGTAATTAACTAAGCAGTAATTAATCATTAGAAATGACAATTGAAAACAATTTTTTTTAAAGTATTGATTTTTTTTAAAATTGATTTTTATAACTTAAAAAAAAAGAAGGAAATAACTCTTCAACAAGGTCATAAATTAGGACACGTTCCATTCTTACATTCTAATAGTAATTAATGGAATTTTGTCTAAAAATACCGAGTATTCTACCAGTACACATCTGTTATGTATACAAATTCATTGAATCTGAGGCTATTAGGGATGGAATACCCTAAGATGTATCGAAAGTATTATCAATTAACATTAGTTACTTCCATTCATTTGTCGACTCGATAAGACCGCCGAACATTAACTGGCAAGATTGGAAATATGCAGCTTACAACATTTCCATCTGTTATAGTCAAAACATTTCGGGCGCTGAGAAAACATTGGATTGAAATTCTAGTTCGAAATTCATTTTCAATCCACCTCAGCTACTCTAATCTAATACGAACAGTGTTAGCGATTGATCCAATGTTGTCCATTTCGGAATAGTTCGACATTTATATAAATTTAGGTCCAACGTTTTAAGGACAGGCAAGCGTTATAAGGATTTCTAGAAATAATATAATAATCTATAACGCTTGCGTATCTTTATAAAAATACTGGATCGAAAATTTTGATGTACATCAATTTCATAATATTTTGGAATTGAAATTATTTGTCTTTTGGATCATACATTAACACTTTGCGTGTGAAAATAGCTAAGGTGGATTGAAAATCAACTTCAAACTTGAATTTCAATCCAATGTTTTCTCAGACGCCCGTGTTGTATTGTACCCGCCCATATCAATGTCAACAGATGGAAATGACGTAAGCTGTATACTTCCAATCTTGCCAATTAATGTTCCGCGGTCTTTATATCCCAGTGAACTTGAAAAAGTCTGACACATTTGTCGGTTTTATATCTGGATATTTTACTAGATTGATCGATTGTACATGTATGTTGTTTTACGTCCAATACGAGAATTTGTAACTCTTATAGGGATGTAATTTTACTAGAAAAAGACGTTAATGGTAATCTTACAACAAAACTTTACGACAAACGTGATGACTTCAACTTTTCTATCCGCAAGGCCATGCTTTTGGTACGAACAATTTCTAAAACAAGGCAAGCTTTTGACAAACAAGTTAAAAAAGAATTCCAACAGACTCGTTTAAAATCATCATTTCGCAAGTTATGGTCAATACAACGACCTTGCAGCAAATACAATCTATTATTAAGTCGGAGAGGGCTACATTATTGCAGCTAGTCGAATGCTGACTGACGTTTTTAATAAGATAATTTTATTTTCCAATTTTGGGCCCAGAACTCAGAAGGCATGCAAACTTTTTACAATGAAAAGATAGAAAGTTCTGAATGAAAGGTTACATACACAAAGATAAACACACACACATATACATGTATATACATGCATATATATGATAAAATCCATACAAGTAACTTAAGGTACAGCAGTTGGGGTTATCAAACTGCAATTGACATGTGGTTATAAACCTTTATTAATAATATATGCCACAATACGAACTGTTAGGCCATTATTTACAACTGAATTTTCTTAGGATTTTTCCATTTGCCCGATCATGACAAAGATCACATGGCAGGTGTGGCTGGTCGACAAGATTGCTTACTCATCCATGGCACCTGATCCAACCTCTGATGTTTTAAGAGGTCCTAGTACTATTTTTGGTGAGAAAGAATTTTTTTCAGTTTGTCAGAAGACAAGCACGACAAACTTTTAATTCTAGGTCACTGAATATTAGCATAATTTATGACTATCAGAAAGTTACATGTTGTAATTTATAAAATATTTTATACATATTATTGCTATATTAAACAATTCTTGTTTTACTTCACAATACTTAAACATGTTTCAATAAGGGAAGCTAAAAAAAAAATTAACTTGCAAGAAAAGTTCAATTTTGATTGCTGCCACAACCCTTTGCACATATGTCACAACATTTTGATTCCTACACCAAAGCCAGTGTAGTTAAATACCAAGTCTGTGTAACATTCTGATAATCTGAGGCATCACAAAGTCCATACCTATGATAACCACAACAAAACACATCAGTGGTGTCATGAGTTGTCTCTGTGTTACATCACCAATCCTATCACAGAGGTTCTTTATTCCAGGAATGGAAAAGTTCATTGTCTGAGATTTGTGTTCAAACTGGGCACAAGCATCAACCATCTGTTGTCCATCAAAAGGCGGAGTAAGGATCCAGTATAGGAGTATAGCGATGACCAAACCCTTGAAAGCAAATGCCAGGACATTGATGACAGAGTTATCAACAGGTGGGGGAGGGTCTCTTGGTGGGGGATCAGTAGCAGTGTGGGGATCTTGTTGGGGTTGGAGAGTGACAGTTTTGGGTCCCTCAAGTGTTGCATTATTTTGTAGGACTTTGATGCCAACATCACAAACCTTGAAATGAAATTACGTCATTATACACAACCGTATACACTTATTATTGCAGAAAATCAAATTATATGTTTATCACAGAAAATATGTATGTAGGAAATTAATGAACTACAGAAAAAGAGGTTGGATTTGGTCATTTTTAACCTGTCTCATGAAACTTAAGGCGGGTACATCGAGCTCTGGATACACCCGATTCCAGCGAGACTGGCCTTTGTTTTTGTCATAATCATCACAGTAATTTGTGCAAAGAAGAAAACGATTCTCTGGAAGACCAAGCTTAGAGCAAAACTCTTTCTTTTTTGAAACACTCTCCTCCAAATTATTGCATTTGTCTTCTTTTGTTAAAACACCAAATACTGGAATTACTGCAGAAGAACAAAAATAAAAATCTGGTTTTGAAACGTTTCAATGCAACCATTTTTCCTATTGCTTTCAAATTATTTGATAAAGAAAAGTGGAACAAAATTCATGAATAAGTGACATAACTTTACCCATTTAAATTATGTGTATATTTTTTAAGACCACCATAATCTACACCATAAGTTGAATCCCCTTAATATAAGGGTTAATGTTACAGAACTAAAGTAATTAGTTGGACAAATACTTCAGTTTTGTGCATGTTGTGGGCAGAGTTAAGTTCAAAGTAGCAAGATAAATGTTCTTGAAAGTGACTTAAGAACAATACACATTATTTATTATAGTCAAATTTGATAACAGTTTTCTTTATTCATTCTAGGAAGCTATTGGGGGGGGGGGGGATTTTGTAATATATGAGTTGAATAACAAATATAGAGAATATTCAATGTTTTGAAGTTAGATATGGAATTTATTTCACAAGTGGCACAGGATATTTTGATATGTCCACGAGTGCGAGGCACGAGTGAAAATATTAAAAAAATCTGGTCTCAAGAGTAAAATAAATTCCATATCCAACTATAAAACATTGAATTTTCTGTTTATTACATTTCTTTGATTTCCCTTTGCCTCTGTTTTTTTTTTAATCAATGTCATAGGTATTGACATCATAGTTGAGCAGTTGAGACGTCATAGCTTAGCATTTGTGAGATTGAAAACAATGTAATTTGGATTTTAGCAACATATTTGGGAGGAAATTGGCAGTTTCAGTCTCTATCAAGATGGTTTAGTTACTATCTCTATCTTATGACTGGCCAGAAATTATTATTTACTTTGATATCCTTTCACACTGTGACAGAATATCACTTTGGCATCCTTTTACACTGTGAAGAATACCACTTTTATTCAATAAATAAATCACAGTATTTCACTCATGAAAATGTAATAAATTCTTTTCTTACCTCTGTCCTCTTTTAATGCTACCTGCTTCACTGCTTCCATCAGATTTAGTGGAAGGACAGAGGCCGATGATGCCACAAATATCAGACAGTCCACTTTCAGGGTCTCCTTCTTTGATAAATAAGCTTCCCTCATTCCTTTTATTCCCCCATCTCTAAATAAAATCATCAGACTTTATCTAGAAAGCATTAAAAAATGCTTTACTTTGAGAGAAAATAGAAAAAAAATAAGTAAAATCATAAAGTTTTCCAGATAAAAAATCCCGAAACAAAGTTTCCATCGCTTACAGATATGTAGGCTTCATTTATCTTTAAAAAAAAAAAAGCCTACTTATCATTGTACTATATAACCAGAAGTCTCTGATGAGACTGTAGCTCTACTGGTCTGTATGTATAACAAAAGAAAAGTAGCACTTGAATTTGAAACTTTGCAACATGCAACAATAAATAGAATTATGTATCTTAATATTAGTCGACTTCTGCCAAGTTATATTGAAATCAAATGAAAACTGTAGGAGGAGTAGCGTTTTGAAAGTATTTCACTGAAACTTCTATTTTTAGTAACCATGACAACACCATTCACCGAAATAAAAAAAAACAGAAATACATATTATGTATCGTAGTGTATTCTAACTGTGTGCCAAGTTATATTGAAATCATACCAAAACTGTTGGAGGAGTAGCGTTTTAAAGGAATTTCACAAAAATTTCTATTTTTAGTAACCATGACAACACCATTCACCGAAATAAAAAAAAAACAGAAATACATATTATGTATCGTAGTGTATTCTAACTGTGTGCCAAGTTATATTGAAATCATACCAAAACTGTAGGAGGAGTAACGTTTTAAAGGAATTTCACAAAAATTTCTATTTTTAGTAACCATGGCAACATCGTCGATTGAAATCAAAAACTAATGCACTAAGTTATGTATCCTAGTGTAGTCTACTTGTCTGCCAAGTTATATTGAAATCGGACCAAAACTGTAGGAGTAGCAGCGTTTTAAAGGAATTTCACAGAAATTTCTTTTTTAGTAACCATGGCAACACCGTAAATTGAAATCAAAAACCAATGCACTAAATTATGTATCTTAGAGTAGTCTACTTGTGTGCCAAGTTATATTGAAATCAGACCAAAACTGTAGGAGTAGCATTTTAAAGGAATTTCACAGAAATTGCTATTTTTAGTAACCATGGCAACACCTTCCATCGAAATTAAAAACCGATGCACTAAATTATGTATCTTAGTGTAGTCTACTTGTGTGCCAAGTTATATTGAAATCAGACCAAAACTGTAGGAGGAGTAGCGTTTTAAAGGAATTTCACAAAAATTTCTATTTTTAGTAACCATGGCAACACTGTCCATTGAAATCAAAAACAGATGCACTACATTATGTATCTTAGTGTAGTCTACTTGTGTGCCAAGTAATATTGAAATCGGACCAAAACTGTAGGAGGAGTAGCATTTTAAAGGAATTTCACAGAAATTGCTATTTTTAGTAACCATGGCAACACCGTCCATTGAAATTAAAAACTGATGCACTAAATTATGTATCTTAATGTAGTCTATTTGTGTGCCAAGTTATATTGGAAATCGGACCAAAACTGTAGGAGAAGTAGCATTTTAAAGGAATTTCAGAGACATTTCTATTTTTAGTAACCATGGCAACACCGTCCATCGAAATCAAAAACCGATGCACTAAATTATGTATCTTAGTGTAGTCTACTTGTGTGCCAAGTTATATTGAAATCGGACCAAAACTGTAGGAGGAGTAGCGTTTTGAAAAATTGTTTACAGACAGACAGACAGACAGACAGATGGACGGACGATAGACACCTTACTATCGCATAAGCTCTTCTGGTCTCTGACCAGTAGAGCTAAAAACCTTCTTGGAAATATTACTCTTAAGTTCTTAAATCTACAGAACTCAATTTCATTCAACCCCTGATTATATTAATTATATGATCTTTAAATCCAAAATAAGAAACTCACGTATAAATGTTTATAGCATCTAGTAATTTGTGTTCATGTGGCACCAGACCAAATAAAACATATCTCAGCAACTCCTTAATTTTCTCAGATGATTCATCATCGAATCCATTCATGTCAATCAGAGTTGGATATGGATAATCCTTCTGTCTCTCTGAGTCCAGATATTCTTCCTTTGTAATTCTTTAAAAAAAATTGTCATTTTATATATTTTATTTGGTAACTGCTACAAATACAAAGTCTTAAAATTTAGTATACTGTCTAAATTAGCTTTAAGTTTTTAAAAATCTTGAACATGATCCAATAATAAATATATTGATCCAAATTTTCTCTAAATGTCTGTTTTGCTTTCTCTTTTAGATAGGTTTATTTACTTTGGATATATAGCTTCGATATTCATCAAATTTTAAAATCAGGATGACACTTAATATACAAAATCCATACCCCCAATGCAGCTTGTAATCTTTATCCGCCTGGTGACTGATTAGATTTAAATTTGGACATGTTCATGTCCTTCATTAACCATTGTTTGAGGAATGAATATGACAAAATATACAAGCCATCAATTAAACTTAAGATGCAGCATATGAACATTGGACTATATTTCCAGATGAATGAATTTATTCAGAACGTTAGTATTTTGGAGCTTGTCTAGTCCAAAAAATCTCTAACTCCAACGACCGGTCGATCTCAAAAAATTACAAACAATACAAAACTGTGAACAGGGCATTTAACACGGAATCCAAGAACTTCCAGAGGCGGTATCAGGAGTCTAGGAGCAGTAAGCATCCCCTGTAGACTGGTCACACCCTCAGTGAGCCCAATGTATTGATCAGGTGCCTAGGAGGAGTAAGCATCCCCTGTAGACTGGTCACACCCTCAGCGAGCCCAATGTATTGATCAGGTGCCTTGGAGGAGTAAGCATCCCCTGTAGACTGATCACACCCTCAGTGAGCCCAATGTATTGATCAGGTGCCTAGGAGGAGTAAGCATCCCATGTAGACTGGTCACACCCTCAGTGAGCCCCATGTACTGATCAGGTGCCTAGGAGGAGTAAGCATCCCCTGTAGACTGGTCACACCCTCAGTGAGCCCAATGTATTGATCAGGTGCCTAGGAGGAGTAAGCATCCCCTGTAGACTGGTCACACCCTCAGTTAGCCCAATGTATTGATCAGGTGCCTAGGAGGAGTAAGCATCCCCTGTAGACTGGTCACACCCTCAGTGAGCCCAATGTATTGATCAGGTGCCTAGGAGGAGTAAGAATCCCTTGTAGACTGGTCACACCCTCAGTGAGCCCAATGTATTGATCAGGTGCCTAGGAGGAGTAAGCATCCCCTGTAGACTGGTCACACCCTCAGTGAGCCCAATGTATTGATCAGGTGCCTAGGAGGATCAGGTAGACGGAGTAAACCGTAGTCAAAGGCTAATACCAAAGGCCGAACAATTGGTATGAAATATGTGAGTAAAAATACGACCCAATGACGGGTTGTATTTCTAGTTAGGTCATTATACCGACCATAGAATTTACGAAATGAAGACTTTAAATGGGATTGTTGAAATCCCTGTAATGTTAACTTATCTATCGGTAACCAGCCTCCGTTTAAACATTGATCGTACTCGGAGCATGCTCTGGGGTATCGAAAAAGTTGGGAGACATTGCACCATATGCAGGTGATAGTGGAATATTACTACATAAATAAGGAAAGTTGGCGATGGAAAAGCAGAAACTATATCGTTTGTCATACTGTTGTTAGCCCTTATCATCTATAGTCAGTCAAACATAAATATGTGAAACAGATGTCTTTTATTTTGAGTAATAGGGACATATCGAGGTGAATGGAAGTAACTATTGTTAATTGATAAATTTAGTGAACGAGCTTCCGAATGAAGCAAATAAGAAGTTTATAGCCTAGGAAAATATTTTAACATGATGAGAATATGATGAAATATGTGGAGATAATGAACAGTATTCGAGCTCAAAAGTCCATTAAACATTACAAAATAAGAGCAGAGCAAACACGGACCTCTAAGACATCAGAGGTGGGATCAGGTACCATGGAGGAGTGAGCATCCCCTGCCGACCGGTCACACCCGCCGTGTACTCCTCGTCATGATCGGGAAATAACGGAAAAATCTGTCGACAATTTAGTGTGTAAACAATGGCCTAACAAATAGTATGAAAAAAGTCAGTCAGCATTTGACTTAATGATAGACTGTATTTGTTGACAAGGTCATTGTATCGACCATAGAACTTACGAAATGATTACTTTAAACGAGACTGCTGATATTCTTGTTTCATCAACTTGTTTGTCAATAACTTATAGACTTTTAGAAATTGTTCAATCGTAGAGCATGCTCTGGTGTATCGAATCAACTGAGAGATATAAACCCCATATGCAGGTGATAAGGGTATACTGCTGCATGATCAAATTTGTATTTTAATTTATTTTCGTAAAAAAATTATTGAATATTATTTAGTACTGTCATAAGATCATTAATTTATGAATGAAGTACACAGCATTTCTCCATATGTAAGCCTATATTTTCTGAATGAATGATCAGTGATTAGAATGTTTGATGAATTTCATTCCCAAGTCTTATGGCAATGCTTATCTATAATTTTCAGACAACTATTCAGAAAAAAAGCTAACTGGGCAAATCAGTTTCTTATTATTCAAGCAAAGAGATGTCCTGTAATACAAAAAAAAAAAAAATGAATCCAAAATGTGTTTGGTCATTAGCTCTAAAGCAGATGGTCTTTAAATTAAGATGTTTCCTTAGACACACAGAATAAAAGAATACCACTGTCCTTTCTGAAAATATGCATTATTGATCTCCTGTTCATATTAAGGAAACACTATTGCACGCACATACAGGTCAAGTTACATTTCAATCAAATGAAAGAACAGTTAACTCTATGATGTTACATTGATGTTATAATTGTTATGCCATTGGACCATGTTTTACAATAATCTATACACGTGCAGCGTATAATACCGCCTTAAAAGCGGAACATGATACCAGTCTGACATACCAAGCATACTGAAAATGTAAATAAACATTCAAAGAACATCATTATTTAAAATTCACTTCCCTCAGCTGTTAGATACTAACTTTATGAGATGATGTGTAACTTGGCCCCCTCCTCCATCAAAGAATCCAACCTTGGTCCTCTCTCGCCAGCAGTTGGAGGAAAAACTTGCAATGACCGAGTTTATGAAGGAAGACTTGCCGACGCCTGGTGGACCTATTATGGCGACATTTTTTGGTAGAGTGTACTCATCCAGACGTTCTTCAAGTTTTTGTATCTCTTCATCTTTTAGTTGTTGATAATTCATGTCTTCGGTCATAGCTATCTGAAATTTTGAACAGTAAGTTAGATACAGAAAGGAGTGTTCTTTTTATATAGATGTGCTTTGATAGTGGAATTAAATTCTAAAAATAACTATGGGCCATTTATATAATTTTCAATACAATTACCTGTGCAGCAGAACTCATAGTTCCAGACATACAGAATACTAGATAAGAGTCTGAGCTGCCTCTCTCAAGTCTTTAAGTTTTATCAATTTATGCGAAGAAAAAATATCAACCGCCTTCTCTACTTTCGCTTTTGTTTTGTTTTGTTTTTTTTAAATCTGCCTAAATAGCGATCCCAATCATGATGCCTTCAATTACTTCCGTTGTTTGTTGCACACCAATTTCAACTAAAACAATTAATAACCTTACTCACTTATTTTACCAAATACTAGTATATGAACCAAACATACCTGAGAAGTCAAGGTACTGCACAGTCAATTTCTCAGTATCGAAAACATTACAAAGGCGACGAAATTAAGATCCAAAAATAAACCAAAACAATTCTTTTAAACAATAAAATGCTTTCTTTGGTTGTTATAGTATGGGAATTAATGTTGCAGCTGTTATTCGGGTTATGTAATTTTTTTCTGCAATAGCTGCAACGTTAATTTTCGTACTAACAACCAAAGAAAGACATTTTATTGTTTATATTTATATTTTTATAAATAATCATTTTAAATATAATTTATCGGATGAAATATTGTATTATTAACATGCACATCATTGTACGTTTCATTGATGGAACAGCCACTGCTCAAAAAATCTGTAGATGTGATGCTTATCGGTGTTTACTGACTGATAAACGGCAATAAAGGAGATAGTATTCAGTGGATGTCAATATATACAATTTAAATAAGAAAAAAATTCTTCACAAAATTGTTTGCTTGCTCTCTCTCGACTCAGGATAAAAATTTGGGTAAGTAGGTAGGAGGGAAATTATTTTTATTCAAAAACACTTGCAAATATGAAGTTAGAGAGTTATGAAATATGTGGGAAAAAAATGAATGAATAAAAAAGATAATTGTTTCCTGGAGGTTAAGAAAAAGTTTTTGAGTCAGGTCTTTTAAGTCAGTCAATTTATAAAATGTTGTAATCACAATGGAAATAAAGTAAATCACAAGCTTCTGTTGCTTCTGTTGTTTTTCTCTATTTTCATGGTCTTCGTGATACGAAAGTCGTAATTGTGAGATATACAACACATCAAACTTTGGACTTTTTTATCAATAAAAGAAGTACAGTATATAATTCTCCAAAAATTCTGATGATAGGTAAAGAACACAAATAATTGAAATGCATCATTCTAGTTTGATAATAACTAGAGTACTCAACGAGTAATTAACCGGTTACTCGAACTGTACTCGTCGAAAGGTCCGAGTATCAAATACTAAAATTCAGTACTTGAGAACTTTTGGAACAAACTATAACCATGCAATACTTTTTCATGGTTCTCCTTATTTTTCAAAAAATTCTACTTTAAGAGATCATTTATACGTTATCTCAATTGCCTATCATGGATTTATGACCCTGCTATGTTTTGAAAACAATTTAAGTACCAGTCCATGTAAAAATCAGGAAAATTTGGTATAAAAGTGATATATTTAATAGGGTTTTCAGAATTAAAAAAAAGTCAATAGCACCTAAGTTAGTGGCAGCTCGGCTGGCGCATTTTGTTTATAACGAGGGAAACGTAATTTCATATTTATAATCATTTCAAAGTTCCATTATATTAAAAAAAAAATGAATGTTGATCACACTTAAATGCTATAAAACTTAAGGGTGCATAGACACAGATCTGAAGTTTATATTTTCTCAAGTTTTCTGTATAATATCACAACTTATATGTTGCTATAGCATTTCACACGAAAATAAAATTATAAACTTATTTAATCTGGAAATTATTGAAACTTTGAATTTCGGAAGGCGTTTGATTAACACATCCTTGCACTTTCACAATTTTTAAGTTTATCCTTGATACTTAAGAAAAGTAGCAATTTTGTTGTGTATTCATGAATAATATTACATCTATAATCCAGAAAATTCAGAGTAAACATGTGCAAAAGCAAAACCCACTCACTTAAATATTGTCAGCCCGTGCTCAGTGTTGTGTAGTTGTGTACAGAGTTTAACAAATTGAATACACCCGTGAAACGTAAATTGTTTTTGTAAACAGGGCACGAGCTTTGTTGTTGTTAATGTTTTCGATTCACCGGGTGTGTTCAATTGTTAAACTCTGCACACACCACTGAGCACGGACTGACAATACTGGTGAGAGGATTCTGCTTTCTACATTTCTACTATGAAATTTCTGCATTATAGTTTTAATATTTTTCATTGATAAACAACAAAATTGCTACTTTTCTAAAGTAATAAGGATAAAGTTAAAATTTGTGAAAGTGCAAAGGATGTGTCTATCAAACGCGTCCAGAAATTCGAAGTTTCAATATCTTCCAGATAAAATAAGATTTTTATCAAATATTCGTATGAAATGCTATAGCAACATATAAGTCATGAAATTATACAGAAAATTGGAGTAAATATTAACTTAAAATCTGTGTCTAAGCACCTTTAAATAAAACATTTCAATTTTGTATTCTTTCTCTCTCTCTCTCTCTCTTGAATTAACGTTTGCATTGAGGTCCTGAAATTACGTTCAATCAAAAAGAATTAAAGAGATACGCACCTGAAAGTATTGTTATGCCAGTGTTTCATGAAGTACATTTCGCGTTCTAATATATTTACAATGATAAAGAATAAGTAAAAAAGAAAAAAAGGTGACACATGCCTTCTTTCCTTGTGAAGGACAGTTAAACTTGACCATTTCGCACTTAGAAAAAAAGTTTGAAATATTGATTTAAAACTACTGCTATCAAATACATATCAAAAACATGATACGTTTTACGTAAATAAATTTTTAAGGATAAAAGTAGAATTCTTGGTCAGAAAAATAATATTCCTTGAAATCTAAAATATGAATCGTGACCATTTTGCACTTAAAGATAAGAAAATGTGATATGAATAAAATATGCTTCAAAAATTAAGTGATGTACTTATCAATTTTCTTTAACAATACTGCTAAATCTTTCTATCATTATATTGGCTAATGGACATTTATTTTTTTTTCATAATTTAAATCAAACAGGAGTAACCTACAGATAATTTCCTTTGATGGTAATTTTTAATGTCATCACCATCATGTTTGACAACTATGAAAAGGATACTTATAAGAAAGAAATATCAGTCAAAGAATGAAAAAAGTAGTACAAAATTTCCATAAAATGGATGATTTAATTTAACTGTAAACAGTTAGTTACCCTATTTAAATAGTATATATGCCACACTGGCAAAGATTTCTCATGAAAAGGATTCCGCAAAAGAGAATAAAACTTTTATTTGGGCCTGGAGATAGAATGCAAAGGATTCTTAGAATTATGTTTATTCTACCAAATGTTATTTGACAAAAAGAGACTTTGAATAAAGTACCCTGTAGTTGAAAAAAAAAAAAAAATACAGGACCGAATCACTTAATTCAGAAGTTACTCAAGTATGAAGTAAAGGTCAGATGCAGCATCCAAAACATGTAACTAAGCATTGATAGATGCACCATATATTGTATGTGCATTTGGATTAATTATCCCTCGAGAACTCAAGCAGGAGGAAATGCAGCATCCATTACTGGATATCAAAACATGACAAACATTATTTTTCATTCTGAAACAACTAGTTTATCACTTATGAACAAACTGTAGTATACAAACATACATTCCATTTTTGAAATAAAGCACATATATTATAATGTAGTGTTGCATATCTTTCATAATATCACAGACTATTTTTGATATTTTCACAAATAATTTTTATTTTAGGTCACTGAGTATTAGCATGATTTATACATATACCACATGACTATTAAACCTATAACAACATTATTATTTTTTCAGAGTTATCTATAGGTGAAGGAGGGTCTCTTGATAATCAATATATGTTATTTTTATTATATTAAACAATTCTTATTTTATTGACAATACTCAAACATTTTTTAATAAAGGAAAGATTCAAAAATTGATAAGCTCGCAATACATATATATATATACAGTATATATATATATATATATATATTGATAGGTTTTTGATAATATATATATATATATATATATATATATATATATATATATATATATATATATATATATATATATATATATATATATACTTCGTTCTTTGAAATATGAAAAAAATATACATCCGAGTAACCGAGTAGCGATTTTAGTATTCGATACTCGGACGTTCGATCGAGTACCCGGTTAACCGGGTACTCGTTGTCATCCCTAATATATATATATATATATATATATATATATATATATATATATATGTATAATTTTGATTGCTGCCACAGCCATATTTATTTAAAATCTCATCAAGTACTTGCACATGTCACAACATTTTGCTTCCTACACCAAAGCCTGTGTAGTTAAATGCCAAGTCTATGTAACATTCTGATAATCTGAGGCATAACAAAGTCCATCCCTATGATAACCACAACAAAACACATCAGTGGTGTCATGAGTTGTCTCTGTGTTACATCTCCAACCCTCTCACAGAGGTTCTTTATTCCAGGAATGGAAAAATTCAATGTCTGAGATTTGTGTTCAAACTGGGCACAAGCATCAACCATCTGTTGTCCATCAAATGGCGGAGTAAGGAACCAGTATAGGAGTACTGCGATGACTAAACCCTTGAAAGCAAATGCCAGAACATTGAGGACAGAGTTATCTTTAGGTGGGGGAGGGTCTCTTGGTGGTAGAGGATTAGCAGCAGATTGTCGATCTTGTTGAGACTGGGAAGGTATAGAGGGACTTTTATGAAGTGTGGCATCGTTTTGTAGAACTTTGATTCCAATATCACAAACCTAGAAATGTTAAACTGTGTATGTGCATTACACCCTCACATATGAATGACAGTGCATGGGAAAAATATAATTTCTAAGGACAAATAAGGCTTTATTGTTATAATACCTGTCTCATAAAGGATAGATTTGGCACATCAAGTGCTGGGTACACTTGATTCCAGCGTGATTGCCCTTTTTCTTTGTCATAGTCATCACAGTAGTTTGTACACAGAAGGAAGCGGTTCTCTGGAAGACCCAGTTTAGAACAGAAATCTTTTTTCTTTGTCATGTATGTTTCCTCATCATGTACTTTGTCTTTCTGTGTTAACACACCAAATAAAGGAATGACTGCAAAGAAGCAAATTACATTTAAGGGGCAGATTATATATAGCAAAAACTTGTCTTATGTGGACCTTTCTTGTTCCAAAGAAATTTGCCAGACTATGTATAGTAAAATGTTCAAAATTAAATCTTAATTTAGTCTTAATCTTAAGGACTAGGACAAGTGGTAAAAAATTATCAGTTAATTCACAAAAAATTAGGACTGTCTCTGTTTGAATTTTGTCTCATTAACACAACTTTCATCCCTAACTCAGGTGAACTAAATACTCAGAATTTACCAGAAATTCTGAAAAGTGCTTTTAGGTGAATTTAGTTTCAACATTATAGATTTTTTTTCTTCACTAAGAGATCTCATATATCTCATCATATCTCATCAGCTATTACCTCTTTCCTCTTTTTGTGCCACCTGAACAACAGCATCCATGAGATTTTCAGGAAGGACTGAAGTTGTTGAAGAAACAAAAATCAGACAGTCAACTTTCAGTGTCTCCTGGTTCATAAAATACTCTTCCCTCATTCCATTTAGCCCTCCATCTCTGAAAAAAGAGTCGGAATGCTCATCGGTAATTTTTAAGGGACTGTACTATTGAGTAAGACTGTAGGCTTATATTCAATACTTTTTTAAACAAGAGGCCCAAGGGCCTTAACGGTCACCTGAGTACAATACAACAATTTAGAGGATCCATAGAGTATTAAAATGAAATGAAAGGTGAAGCTTTGTTGCCCAAAAGCAAGAAAAATAGGGTGATCAGGATCAACAAAATAATTAGTCTACTATTCATTAACAGTTCATAAATTAGATTCTAATCTGTTCCCCATTTATCACTATCACCATACAGTATATTAACAAACTATCAGTGCTTTTGTACTATTTTAATTCCTTGTTGTAATCTCTTTCATTGGCCTTTCTTGGTCTTTGATGAACATTTAATAAGACAAGTTATTTTTGTCTCATTTTTATTTATCTATTACTTACAAGTCCACATGATCATTAAAACTATGAAAATACTTTTTGTATTATACAATAAAAATTCTTGCATTATTCTCTTATTCTATTAATTTTTCAAGTACATTATTTACAATGATTAATTATCAAAAGTAAACAGCAAAGGGGAATAACTCCTCTCAGTAGAATGCAAATTAATTGAGCCCTGGCTAGGACCAGAACACTTGACCAAATGGTCCAGATGTTCAAAAATCTGGTAAAAATACCCTTCCTTATTAACAACTTTTACACTTTTTGCCTCTGATATGCCCAAATGCAGAGAAGATTTTTAAAGAAATAATGCATTTTCACTACAGATTCACTATATTATCAATAGAGCCCCTCCCCCCCCCCCCCCCACCCTTCACCACCGAGAAACACCAGAGGGTCTCACCCTAGGACCAGAAGTTTCAAGTTTGCTCATCATAAGTAATCACTTTGTTTAACCGCTTAACATTAAGGAGCAGACAGGATCATTTAATAGAATTAATGCATTTTCACTAGATTATCAACAGCCCCACCCTTATACCAGCACATCTGACCCAGGGGTCATGCAATTCACTACTCTGGAAGAAGCACTCTTGCTCATCATAACTATATACTTAGCTTCTTTGCTTTTTAACCAGAAGCAGAAAAGAATATTTTCAAAGAAATTTTGATTTTTCACTATATAATCAATAGAGCCCCCCCCCCCCACCTTTTGACCAGGACCCTTGACCCTGGGGCCATGAAATTCACAATTTTAGAAGAGGCATCCTTGCATATCATAACAATGTACTTAGTTTGTTTAAATAGTACCCAGGGGCAGAGAAGAAGATTTTCAAAGAAATAATTCACCTTCACTGTAGGAGCTATATAGCCCCACCCTAGCACAAGAACCTCTGTCCCTGGGGCCATGAATTTCACAATTTTGGAAGAGGTGTCCTTGCTTATCATAATAATGTACTTAGTTTGTTTAAATAATACCCAGAAGCAGAGAAGAAGATTTTTAAAGCATTAATGCATTTTCACTATATAATAAATAGAGCCCCGCCCTAACATCAGAACCCCTGACCCAGGGGTCATAACTATGTATTTAATTTGTTTAAATAATACCCAGGAGTAGAGAAGAAGATTTTCAAAGAAATAATGCACTTTCACTATATGATCTATATACCCCCCCCCCCCCAGCACCAGAACCCCTTACCCTGGGGCTATGAATTTCACAATTTTGGTAGAGTCACTCTTGCTTATCATAACTATGTATTTAATTTGTTTCAATAATACCAAGGAGTAGAGAAGAAGATTTTTAAAGAAATAATGCACTTTCACTATATGATCTATATACCCCCCCCCCCCCCCCAGCACCAGAACCCCTGACCCTGGGGCCATGAATTTCACAATTTTGGTAGAGTCACCCTTGCTGATCATAACTCTGTATCTAATTTGTTTAAATAATACCCAGGAGTAGAGAAGAAGATTTTCAAAGAAATAATGCACTTTCACTATACGATCTATATAGCCCCACCCTAGCACCAGAACCCCTGACCCTGGGGCCATGAATTTCACAATTTTGGTAGAGTCACCCTTGCTTATCATAACTCTGTATTCAATTTGTTTCAATAATACCCAGGAGTAGAGAAGAAGATTTTCAAAGAAATAATGCACTTTCACTATACGATCTATATAGCCCCTACCTAGCACCAGAACCCCTGACCCTGAGGCCATGAATTTCACAATTTTGGTAGAGTCACCCTTGCTTATCATAACTATGTATTCAATTTGTTTCAATAATACCCAGGAGTAGAGAAGAAGATTTTCAAAGAAATAATGCACTTTCACTATATGATCTATATAGCCCCGCCCTAGCACCAGAACCCCTGACCCTGGGGCCATGAATTTCACAATTTTGGTAGAGGGCTCAATGCTTATTACAATCATGTCAACAGTTTGACTGCTTGATGTCCAGGAGTAAAGAAGAAGATTTTTAAAGATTGCATTAATTTTGATGGTTTTAGCCCCACCCCTCAGGCCCCAGGGGGGCAGGGACCATGAAATTCACAAATTTTGTTCCCTTTCACACATAGATGCCATATGCATAAATTGGCTGAAATTGGTTCAGCAGTTTCAGAGAAGAAGCTGAAAATGTTCAAATGTTAACACACGACGCACGACGGACGACGACGGACGAAAACAGATAGCAATAGGTCACCTGAGTGACTCAGGTGACCTAAAAACCTTTAAAATTTTAGCAATTTATGTAAATTCCCCCAATGAATGAAAGAGATTCATCAGTCAAGGTTTTAATGTACTGTAATTTTGAGAAACTAAAATTCTATTTCTTGTTTATCCAAAAAAAAAAATTGGAACTCTAACTACACTTCTAAGACAGGATTTTCAGTATAACAAATGATAAATATACTTATTAAGGTTCATTGATACTCTGATAAGAGAGATAACTCTTAATGACATAATTTTCCATTATTCCTTTATAAATTTGTCAAGTTAAAATGTCTTTTTTGTTTAATTTTGCCCCGCAAGCTATGGTATTATAGTTTGTAATTTACTTATTGTCATCTCTCTCGAGAGATGACACATTAAGTTTGTAACCCCGGATATGAAGCCCCAGTGTAAGCTGCCATTGATAAGCTGGTGGTCTGGCAAATGACACGATTTCTAAATACAGAGATGTAAACAAAACTGCTAAATGACAAAGAATGGACGATCTGTCAAACAGGCCATCTTAAAAAAGAAAAACTACACATAAATCATAGAGAGTCATACAGAGACAATATCGCTTGGGTAGTGGTGGGTCTTCAAAATACATGCAGTTTTCTAATCATGGTCAGCGCGTGTGTATCAGAATGCACTAAACATGACATCGATTAGAACGGCCAAGGCGTGGATCAAAGTATTTACAGAAAAACAAAGTGGCGGGTCTTCAAATAACATGCAGTTATCTAGGCTGTTACGTACGGTAAATGATGGCCAGTGCGTGTGTATCAAAGTACACTTTACATGGCATCGATTAGATCAGCCAAGGCGTGGATCTAAGAATTTACAGAAAAACAAATCAAAGTAAATACTCGCATTAAAAGTTTAAATACGATTGATGTGAACTGATGTCGAAAATTTTACTTTTATGTGTATCTTAGTCATTCAATAACCTGATGCCATTTTTAAAATATTTTTTTAAAAACAAATAGTTAATGTTAAAACTACAGGCATTGGAAGAAAGATTATATAATCATTGTGAATTTTTACGCATGTCTGCACTATTCTTTGTTTTTTGCTCTATAAAAAATAAATGTCAGAAATACAATATTGTTACCTTTGTATAAAAGACGCAATTTCTTTACCCGACTCGTATTTTGAGAATTTATAATTATAGCATCTGCAATCATTTTCTTTGTGTAATTTTAAATTGCATTATTGGTAAGTGGCAAAAAAGCTATCAAGTCACTTCTCTTATTCTTGAAATATTATTATATAAAATGATTGTTTCCTTGAACAGCCTAATTAAATATCAGGGTTGGTAAATTGGTACTCTTTCAGATAATTTGTAAATGCCTAATTTTAGCTTATACCGTGTAAATTTTATTACTGACCTATATTTAGATGCATGTGAGGGTTATTTCTTTGGATAAACCATATATTTAAAAGTGGAAAATCTTTCGAAATCAATTGAGGGTCAGTGTCGTATAGTGAGACTTCCCCATAGTGAGATTTCCCCGGAAGACTGGTTATATAGTGAGATATACCCCGGGAAGACTGGCTATATAGTGAGACTTCCCCCCGGAAGATCGACTGGCAATAGAGTGAGACTTCTCCCGGGGAAGTCTCACTATATAACCAGTCTCTCCCCCCTTTCATAGTGAGACTTCCCCTCAAATGTAGTTTCCGGAATATTTTATTTCATTGTAAAACAATATTTTTCAGTATATGAATAAAAGTTCTCCGTTAATTAATAATTAAAACATCTTAATAGCCTTTTAACAGTTTGTTAGCCAAAAATAATTATGGGATGACATGCACATGTATATTGATGTGAGATAACTGAATGAAAAATGTACGTTATTGTTACAAGTATACATCTTTCTTTTCTATATTGTATTTATTGCATTCCCCATGAAGGTTAACATAAGCAAATTCCAAGAGTCCACGAGTAATGATCTATTAAATGTTAAATGTATTTCTTTTGATAAGAATCATTTTGGAACAATTCAATTATTTACTGTACACGATAAATTTTTAATGCGCACTTCTATATTTATTCATACATGTACCTATTTTATAAGATCATTATCAAAATGCAAATATATATACATCGTCGATGTAAATAAAATACTACTGAACATGGAAGGGGGAAGCCTCACTATGGTCGTTTAGGGGGGAAGACTCACTATATAGTAATTCTCCCCCCCCCCCATCGGGGAGTCTTACCGCTATATATAGCCATATTTCCGGGGGAAGTCTCACTATGGGGGTGGGAGTCTCACTATATGACACCGTACTAATTCAAGTTAGCGCATTAAACTTCTTGGCTGTTGTCCGAGTAAGCTGCTGTGATGTAAAGTCAATAAGAACGCTAAGGTTTTACCCATCCTCTTGTATAACAATTGTTCAATTGTTTACAAATTTTACGAATACTGCTCAGTGGTTACATTTTTTAAACACATATACAAAAAATATTTGAAATTACTGTTGCAAATATTTACTGAAAGGCAGCTTGCCTCTACCTTCCCCACATTTTTTTTGTTGCAGCATATTCATACATGTACTCCCCCCCCCCCCCAAATGTGTTTTCGAGAGAGTCAAAAAGTTTAAATCTTCCCTCCGATCCACGAAATAAGAATTTCGAGTTTGAACACCCCCTTTTTTCCTAGTGAAAGATTATTCAGGTAAGTTGTAATTTTTTTTTCTGACTACCCCCCCCCCTTTTTGAAAAAAAGTTCTGCTTGTAATCGCTGAGGAAAAAAATGTTACATTCCACTGTTTATTCTGTGCCCCCCCCCCCCCTTTTGAAAAAAAAGTTCTTCTGTCTGTAATAGCTGAGGAAAAAATGTTACATTCCACTGTTTATTCTGTGCCCCCCCCCCCCTTTTGAAAAAAAAGTTCTTCTGCTTGTAATCGCTGAGGAAAAAATGTTACATTCCACTGTTTATTCTGTGCCCCCCCCCCCTTTGAAAAAAGTTCTTCTGTCTGTAATAGCTGAGGAAAAAATGTTACATTCCACTGTTTATTCTGTGACATTAATGAAGCCAAAGAGATGACATTTCAGGCTTTCTGGAAAGCCAGACTTGTAAAATACATTTCTTTCGGAAAATTAAGTCAAGGCAACATTTAATATGAGTGAGCAGAGGGTTTAAGAACCTTAAGTCTGTTGTTTTCTGGATTTATCCTACTACAGTGATTCTATTTCATATCATAGCATAGAATTGATATATGTAAAAGTCTCATACAATGAAAAGGGTGATGATAAACAGTGATCATGCTTGTTAATCCTGTAATCATTAATCAATACAAATCATGCACAGGTCAAAAACACAAACACCTTGTAACACCAAAAGTGGGATCAGGTGCTTAGAAGGGGTAAGCTTCCCCTATTGAACAGACACATGCCCTTTGATCCCTCTGTATTGATCAGGTAAATGGAGTAATCCATGGATAAAATATGTATAAAAACAATGGATTAACAATTGGCACTGAACATGCATTCAAAATATGAATCAACTGTAGGATGTTTTTGCAAACAAGGTCATTATAATTACCAAAGAATTTGCAAAATGCTGACTTAAAACAAAAATGTTGAAAACCCTGTAACATTAACTTATTTGTCAACAACCTACCTCTTTTTAAAAATGAGGAATATTACTGAGTTAAGGATTTAATAAAAATTTCACATTTTTATTACATAGAAACATTGTGTATCTCCTATTTAACATTTTGATTTGACACATAATCGGGGTTTCCCATAGCAAAATGGACACTGCCATTCTTTCTTTAATAATGGGAGAACTCTTACCTGCAATTCCAGTAACACTGAATAAAATATAATGAGACTTTTAAAGAATTTTATTACATAGTACCATTGTGCATCTTCTATTTTAAGTTTCAATTATACAGATATTATGGCTTTCCCATAGTAAAACATGGACTCTGCAATTCTTGGTACACTTGATGGTAGCCATCCCTTATTCACAACTCCTCTTACACCACTCAGGGTTGTGGTTACTTTTTAAAAACTTAGGGGCCATGTGGGCTCCTATCTTTTCAAATTTTACGGGCCCACAATGTGACCCAGGGGCCCACATTATATGTAAATTAAAAATAAAAACAAAGAAAAAAATTCTTAAATTTTTAAAACTGATTTCTTTAAATTCCTAGTATCAATATGTTCGCAGCATTTGAATTTTCGTCAGGTTTTCTCTTTTCTAAAAAATCTTGATACAATAATATGTTCATTTCATTTTGTAGCGTTTAACCCTACAACTGATGCATTTATGGTTTAACGGGGCATATTAAATTACATACAACCTGTAATGAAGTTTGATTCTAATCTTTTATTGTGTGTATTTGACACGATAATTCAAATTCTATCTTTGAATAACTAGTCCTGATGGAATGTCTCACAGCCATAGCCGATTGTTTCAATATTTCTTTAAGAACAATCTCAAATGTTTGCTCTCGTATCATCAAGATTGCAAATTAAACGCTTCGATAAATCGCCATGTTTGATCTAAGTCACATACATCTTTGACTAATATTTTTGCACGCAATACAAATAATCTAGGTTAGTAGAGCGTTTGTTCAAAACCTGAAAGTACATACAATGATTATGTTCCGGAAAAAAAATTGTTCCCCATGTGGGCGACCAGATTTTTAATATATAATCGCCAACAATTTTACTGGCATTTGCGAGTGGGCGAGTGGTTATCCACAACCCTGCCACTGAATTCAATTTAATGAAATTTTTACAGCATCTTTATACCAAAGTGTAGTTCTTCACCTTCTATTTTATGTTCTATTGGAAAGATATTTGGGGTTTCCAATAGCAAAACATGGGCTTTGCCATTCTTGTTTTTTACTGTCGATAAATTTCATTTTATCTAATTCTAAGTAATCTGGTGTTTAGAGTAGAACTTACGTGTAGATCTTCAAAGCATCTTTTAACTTGTGTTCATGTGGGATCAAGCCAAACAAAATGTATCTGAGCAGTTCCTTTATGTCCTCTGTGGATTGGTTTTCAAACCCATTCATGTCAATCAGCGTCGGATACGGATATTCCTTCTGTCTCTCTGTGTCCAAGTACTCATCTTTTGTTGTCCTTTTAGTTAAAAAAAGATTAAAATTTAAAAAAATAAAAAATTAAGATGTGTAAATAAAACCTAGTCATGGTAATTGCTACACCCCCCCCCCCCCTTAAGAAAAAAATACATGGCTTACAATTTTTTTTTCCTTAACCATATGCATGTATATGGATGATGCAGTTTTGGTATTATAATAGTTGAACAAGCGTTTTTAAATTGCAATTGAAGATGTTTTAGAGAAACCATAACAATAATCTGAGTACCAAGAGTATTGTATTTTTATAGCTTCTTAAAACCTTTAACAACAACATACTTAATAAGATGACACGTTCCTTGCCCCCCTTCCCCAGCAGTGAACCCAACTTTGGTCCGCTCTCGCCAGCACTTGGAGGAAAAACTGGCTATGATAGAGTTTATGAATGACGATTTGCCGACACCTGATGGTCCTATGATGGCAACATTTTTTGGTACAAAGTATTCCTCTAAACGTTCCTCGAGCAATTTTATCTCTCTTTCTTTTTGTTGTTGATCAATAGCTTCTGGAGTCGCAGCAGACATATTGTAATATGTAATTAGGGGCTTCTAGACACTAATCTGTGTAAAGATTGTGGCCAACTTTCCCTTGTCTCCGGGATTTCTGATATCTAAATAATAAATGAACTCAGCTGTCGATGATTCAAACGAAAAGACCATTGGATTTTTCACGTTACTATGTTTAAGATTTTTTTTTTCTACTTTCGATTTGTTTTAAAAGAACAAATTACAAACAACGATCCCGATCATTTTAAGGATAGATGATACATATAAATAAATAAAATGAAATAAAAGTGGATGCCTGGATTGGTATATATTTTTTGACCTATTTTGGTTGTAAATGATTAGAATAATATATTTCTAAAATATAAAGAAACTGTCTACGATATTTTTAAATTCTACCTTTCTGCAACCACCCTCATTAAGCTGGATGGTACCATGTACAGATAGACGAACACGAGTTATCTTTCCCAAGTCCTTAATAATCTAATATACAAATTTTTATCACTTAATGTGAAACTCTGAAAGAAGATTGAAAAATCATTAAACTTCAATTTACTTATATAAACATGACTTAAGTTGTTATTTTCCAGATTTTTGATAAAAATTTGTTTGTATCATCTGTCCTTATATGGTCTGACGATACGTTCCTCGAAAAACTGATTTTGTATTTCATACGAGTAATAATAATCTCGTAGTAATATACCAGAAATACTATATATCATTATTATCTTCTAATTTCTAAACTGTTTACACATATATACATGTAGGCCTATTTATATATTGGTCTAAAAACATATAAAACCAACATTATTATATCAGTAAATCCAATTCAAGTGTTCGATTTCCAAGAGGATTATATAGTAAATACCTTCCTCTGGAATTTGCACGAATGCCTGGTAATGTATGATCTCAATTTTTGTGAGAAATTTGTTTAGGTAGCAACATTTCAATCACTAATACTTAGGGAAAATTATATATATATTATTGAGGAACAAAGTGTTCTGACCTTAAGGACCCTTTAAACACTAACGCAAAACGTTTTAAACACACAAGTACTCTGAAGTTGACAATAAAAAGATGCTCGAGTTCCTGATTGACAATATCTATGTTGTTTTTGGAGACCATGTCTTCCAACAATCTATTGGAATTCCCATGAGTACCAATTGCGCCCCGTTATTAGCAAACCTATTTTTGTATTCATATGAAGCAGAATTTGTTCAAAATCTTTTACGTGAAAAGAAGAAAACACTTGCTGTGGCCTTCAACTCGACATTTAGATATATCGACGACGTATTATCAATTAACAGTGGTAATTTCCATTCTTATGTCGACACGATATATCCCGGTAAGTTTGAGATAAAAGATACCACAGAGTCTGACACATCTGTTTCATATTTGGATATTTTATTAGAAAAAGACGTTAATGGTAATCTAACAACAAAGCTTTATGATAAACGTGATGACTTTAACTTTTCAATCGTCAACTTCCCTTACTTATGCAGCAATATACCTTTATAATTTAATTTTGTTTGTACTCTAGCCTCTGATTGGTTAATATCCAAAAAGGAACACAAATTATTTCTGTATAACCTGGTTTGGTATGGGGACACCCCCCCCCCCCCCTGACAACCAGCTGAATCGTCTGTATCCATGCAATCCTCTCATTTCCAGTCCTCGGGATTCATGGAAAATTCCAGATTTAATAAATGTACCTTTAACTTCAAACAGTAACTCGGATCTTACCACATGTAAACAAAAAACATGGCTGCTAGGACTATGTATCAGTTTTTACCTCCCCTTGCTTCCCATCACTTCCGTTACTAGGGTTGTATTATTGAGCGGCAAATTTGAACTAATAAAAAGCAACGAAATTTTACACCCAGAGTTGTTTAATGATTTTAGAATTAAATTATAAGGAATGACTCTAATTCTTGGCCAAATTATTCGAGGATAACCTGGTTTGGGTCAGTTTACGCTGTTTTATAATCCGCTTCGCGGATTATAAAGCGTAAACTGACCCAAACCAGGTTATCCTCGAATAATTTGGCCAAGAATTAGAGTCATTCCTAAAATCACCTGCATACGGGCTTTATATTTCTCAGTTGATTCGATACGCCGAGTATGCTCTACGTATGAACAATTTCTAAAACGAGGTAAGTTATTGACAAACAAGTTGATGAAACAAGAATATCAGCAGTCTAGTTTAAAGTCATAATTTCGTAAGTTCTATGGTCGATACAATGACCTTGTCAGCACATACAATCTATCATTAAGTCAAATGCTGACTGACTTTTTTCATACTAATTGTTAGGCCATTATTTACACACTGAATTGTCGACGGATTTTTCCGTTATTTCCCGATCATGACAAGGAGTACACGGCGGGTGTGACCGGTCGGCAGGGAATGCTCACTCCTCCATGGCACATGATCCCACCTCTGATGTTTTAGAGGTTCGTGTTTGCTCTACTCTTATTTTGTAATGTTTAATGAACTTTTGAGCTCGAATACTGTTCATTATCTCCACATATTTCATTTTAGACATGAGAAAATTATTATAGTTTGAAAGGTATAAATATTGAGTTCATGATCGATTTCATTTTCAAGATAGGGTACTTAAATTGGCATTTAACCCTGGGAAAAATGTTCATAGGGAATATGGAGACCACGGGACAGTAATCAAGCTTTAAAGTCCATTAAAAAAATTTAAATAGTCAAGAGAGCTAATACAGACCTTCTATTTATTTTATTTTAGGTCTCAGAACAGAATACATTTACTGCATTAAGGATAAATAACACAAACTTTTTTTCCAGAAATCAGCAATATTTCTCATAGATTAATATTCAAATAGGTAATCTGAATAATATTTTCCTGGTAAAGTGGGAGAATTTTTAAGATAAAAAATTCAAACTCAATCAAAAAATATATATCAATCCATGCATCAAATTTTTATTTGTGTTATGTATCCTATAGATACATACCATATCTTATACCATAGAATCAGAACTTTTAAGTGTGCAGTGTAGATAGAATTAGAACCTTCTATACACTGCACACTAAAGAGTTTCGATTCTCTGAATTTTTTCTGCAGTTAAAGTGACATGTCCTTCAGTCATTATAATTAGATCTTGAATAAAATAGAGTATTACATAATTTGTATTCAGTTAAAGAATTCTGAATATTTTATTTAATGGTTTCTAGATGCTGAGTGAAAAAAAAATCAATATTTTATACTCCTCGGGGATGGGGCATTTAGATGTGCACTAGTTGTGATTCTTTATTAGCCGACCTGTTTTTAAATTCCCATGAAGTAGAATTTGTTTAAGAACTTCTATATGAGAAGAAAAATTAATTAGTGATGGGAAATCGGATTTTTTTTCCCGTAATCGATTATCGAAATAATCGGAAGCACTATAATCGATTAATAATCGATTAATTTCAAGTATCAAATTTGTTTATTTTTGAATGAAGAGAAAATAAGTAAAAAAAAACCGTTAAGATTTAGTTACTTTCAAAGGAAAATGAATCAATAAATCATAGGAATAATTTACTTTTAGCTAATATTTTGATTAATCGATTATCAAAATTTTAATCGATTATCTATAATCGGGGCCATTTCAATTAGATGATTGATTTAATCGATTAATCGGTACATCACTAAAATAAATACTTGCTGTTGTCTTCAACTTGACATTTAGATATATTGAGGACGTTTTATCAAATAACAATGTCGACTTGATCTACCACAGTGAACTTGAGATAAAAGACACCATACGAGTAGTGTCTGACACATCGTTTCATATTTAAATGTTCATAGACGATAAGGGCAAACTAAACAACTAAATTGTATGTAAGAAAAGGAGGTGACTTCAGCTTGTTCATTGTCAACTTTCCTTACTTTCTTATGTTGTAATATTCCACTTTCACCTGCATATGGAGTTTACCTCTCCCAACTTTTTTGATACTCAACAGCATGCCCAAAGAACGATCAATTTTTAAACCGAGGCAGGATACTCACAAATAAGTTCATGTTACAAGGATTTCAACGACGTTTCAAGTCAGCATTCCATAAATTCCTTGGTCGTTATAAATGACCATGTTAGCAAATGTATCCCATTGCCAGGTCGTTTTTTGGCTGACTTGTTTCTTATCAATTTTTAGGCCTTTGTTTTTATATTAAATTTGACTACCTGATCCATACTTATATAGGGCTCACGACGGATGTGACCGGTCGACAGGGGATGCTTATTCCTCTTAGCACTTGATCTCCGGGGTCCATGTTTTCAGTCATGTTCACAGATTTGAACAGTTTTTAGATTTTTTTTTTAGATTGATCACTTATAGTTATCTTTCCCTTTATCATCTGTAACGGATAAATATTGGAAGGTGATGCTTCAAAAAAGAAAAAAAGAAAAAAAAGATTATGCATGAGTCGCGGGTTTTCATAACATTTTGGCAAGATCAAGACCTTCATTTTAAGGCCGTAAATTTTTAATTAATAAATACTGGTAGTTTATACTTCACATGAACATTACCTTTGACAACTTTAAGTAACCAAAGCTTTTATAACATGTATAATGGTATAGATTGGTGTTTTATCATGAATATCAAAGGCCTCATCTAAACAACATCTGCAATGGTTTTTGCGTCTTTCAATGACCCTTAGAAGAGATATTTTTCATAACTTTATTTCATGCAGGACTGCAGAAGGATGGTCATTGTTAAGCATGCATAAATTAAACATAAAATGGATGAATATTTATCCAGATCTTTTATGCATTATTTTACAACTGAGAGACGATTAAATGGACAACTGCTAGTATCTTTTGGAGAAATTATAATAAATGTATTAAATAAATCACATATTTTTTTTACAATTACAATACATGTGTGTGTGTGCATACATGTATAAACACATGTTGGATTACCCCAAATGCATGAAAGTGAATAGATGCTTTATGCTAAAGCACAGTAGCAGTGTTCCTTGTTCATCAAGTAAATCTCTGATGATAATAAATTATATATATTAATATAAATGACTCTTGGAATACATTGTCAGAACTGATCTCTGGGCTCTATCTCCTCAGTCCGCGG